ATATACTTTCTACGCTTTCGAAGCCCTCTATCTTCAGCTTGGGATTCGAGGTAGCCTTTCTGGACACTGGTAATTGTTTGGTTCGCGTTTATCGACTAATGTGAACTCGTAATAGCTTCAAGCGTACCTAGTGACGAACCCTGCAATTAGAAAACTGGAAGCACTAAAAGATGGCCGTTCTATCCTGGCATGTGGCACATCAGCATTGCCTACCCATGAATATCGCTCGTAGAAATTGAATCAAAGACCTTCGTTCTCGCCCTCGAGCTCTTAATCTCTTGACTGTTGAGCCGGCATCTAACGGTGTTGATGCCTAACCTCAATCAATCCACGACATTGCGCGACCTCATACATTCTCTTTTTGGTAGGTGACTGCCTACATCCGACGTGGTTGAACTCCACTGATGACGGCTTCGCAACAGAACGCCAAGAAATTCCTCCCCCAGTATGGAACTCATCAAAAGTGCTCATCGACGACTCCTTCTACTGGCAGGATTACGAACGCAAAACTTTCGATCTTGTGTGTGAATGCCTAACCTCTGGACGTGAGGATGGATGCGCACTGCTCATGATTCCAACATCAGGGAGAAACGGCCGTCTTTCAGTCCATAACTCTATAATGAAACAAATATCATGTATGGTTTTTATTAGGTTTCCGAATGGAGATCCGAGTGAAAAGATGAAAAAACAAACAACAGCAATCTTTTTATTACATTGAATTCTTACGAATTATTATATCCTGGATGATCCAAATCATGGCAGACAGCAGCTGTCAATAGGATTCCTAGTTCTTCACGTGAAAAATCATTATTCAATCCACAGAGATATAGAATTCCATACATCATTTGTGCAACACAAAAACAATGTCGAAAATTATGAAATGGATTATTACGATAATTTGCTTGTATGGACAACTAAAAGGTAGAAAGAATTCAGATTAGATTTTTTAACAAAAAAGGAGGTGAGTAACAGAATTATAAACATCATCCATAATTGAACTCATTAAAGGATTGATAAAACAGTTTGGGTAATTTTTAAATGAATTCTCTAAACTACTTTATAAAATCATCAGTAGTAATAATTGTAAGTGATAATTTTTGACCTATGTACAGCAGCATAGTTTAGCATATTCTTGAGTTGATCACATAAAAATGGAAATATTTTTTATGAGTCTTCAGGAGAAACGTTTCGAAGTCATTTGTGTGACAAACTGGAAAGTAATGGTGTACTGTTTGAAGTCTGAAAAGTAGTAAGTGACTACCTATACATAGGATGAAATTTGTTCCAACTGACTTTGAGTTAGCTGAAATCATGAATAAATAATCAAGTTTGAATTGTATAAATCTGAAATGTTTTAACCTTAACATCAGTTTCTGACTCTCAGTAGGTGTTATAGGTGATAAATGTCTTACTTGTACCTAATTTTTTAATATCAGTTGTGTAAAGTTGTCAAACGGTCGTGTAATAGGATGTTTTATGGAAAATACTTGACAATGAAGTTAGTTTTAGGTGCATCTTTCCGACAGGTCGGGGGTAGGATGTAACCTGTGTCCTGCTTTCTCCTGTTGCCCTTAATCCAGTATTTCTAATATTACTTTGTCTTATTTTGAAGCTCTTTAGTCATTAACTAACATAGAATTCCATTGAGGGTGTTTGTTTGTCTCCTCAGATCACTTGGAGAACTACAAAAGCCATCATCAACAAGATACAAATGTTGATTAACAGTTTTATAGGCAAAATACTTCAGATATGTTGGCCAGACACCATCGGGTACAACCTACTGAGGGACAGAACAAAATAGATCCAAGCGCAGGAAGAAATTAGGAAGAATCTCTGTTAGTGGATAGGACATACATTAAAGAAAGCACTCAATTGATTCTCAACACAAGCCCTCACTTTGAGCCCTCAAGGTCAAAGGAAGAGAGGAAGGCAAAGGAATACATTACATCGAGAAATGGAGACAGACATGAGAACAATGAAAGGAAGGCTCAGCACAGAGTGGGCTGGAGAATGCTGGCCGTCCGCTAATGCTCCAATTGGAGGTAATAGGCAAAAGTAAGTAAGTAAGTCAAATCACTGACTTCGAACCAGTAGATTTAAAGATATTCAGGAAGCAATCATCAAGATCAACGACTGGCATTGTCAAGAGGCGGTGATTTTACACTGCTTATAAGCCCTATTGCAGAAAAAAATATCCCACTTGATATTTTATGATCAGTTCTGGCTAGAGTTGTCTTTTTTGCACATAAATTCTTGTGTAAATCTCTGAACTGAAAAAGCTAATATAATAGTATTTTCTAAATGATTTTCAGTCATCAAACTACTTATTTAATTATAACTAAGTAGATTTGTAACAAAGACATCTTAAATTAAAACTTACCAACCAACGTTTCAATGTTAATGGGTTGATGTTGAATTCTGAAACTACACCTAGCTCATTATACATATGCTCCAGTAGAGCTAACATCTTTGAAAAAAAGGAATAAGAATAAAACAAGGAAACTCATTGAACAATTGAGCAAAACTTTAAATTTCAATGTTCATTGTCCAATACTAATGATTCTATGCATTAGGTTAGATTTGGGATAAACATATTTGTATCGCAAATCTGTGGTATCTAATGGATACGGGAGGAGGTTTCAACCTAAAGAATAATTTATTTTGATAGCAAGACTATAAATAATAGGCGAATCAATCAGGCTTGAGATAGTGAGCCTTGAATCTTGGCGCGATATTCAGTCATCCATAGTTTAACGCGTTCGAAACCTTTCACTACCAACTTCTAGTTCGTATTATCAGTTTATTTTAACCACAGGCTTGTGCTATTTCTGATCACTGTCGATAGCTTTCTATATTAAAGCTAAGTGCATTCTATGTGGTTGAATTTCTCCTCTTGTCCTTTTCTGTTTCAGATAACCTCACATACACCATTCCTTACACTCTTCGGGCATATAAAGTATCTTCCGGCTAAACTTCAGCTCAGTGGTTAAATGGTAGGCGTTCGCACGCAAGATCAAAGGTCCTAGGTTCAAGTATCGCGTCTGGCAGCACTGCTGATGAATCCCATACTATGATGAAACGGCCTTCCAGTTCTTTCGTGTTCCAAATGGTGGTTTAACAATGATTCAATTCAGTAATTTGTTTCTTAATTTATTAGCCTACTCATTAGTTTTTAAGTAGAATAAACATATTAGAATGATTTTTGATATTACTCAAGATTGTATTCAAGTGTAACTTGAATAATCTTGTTTTCATCGTCACGTACTGGTGAAATATTGATTATGGGTGTGCTCTGTTACGAAGTCTGATACAAGGACGAAACATCTGTCTAATGCTTTCAAATGTTCAGATGGTAATCTAATTTAGATCGATTCATGATTTTAGTAGAACCAAGAAATGACTACTCACTACTTTATACTGGATTGAACATCTAATCATTAAGTTGATCTAAACCTGACCGACCACTGGATAATTGATCAGTGTCATGTATATCAGGTCGGTTTTCGGTGTTGATTGAATTTTATCGATCAAGATGCAATGTGGCCATTAATCTGGGTGACTCGAGATTGTGTGCACCTAATTTAGGTTTATGGTGGTTGACAAGAAACCCAAAACCTAGGTTTCATGATATTTGACGCTAGATGTACCTATAGTCTTGAGGGAAACGACAAATTCGATCCTGTATTATCCAGCTTCGGAGTCGGAGAAGTTACCATTGAACTATCGGACGGTATGACTGATCTCTTGTAGGACTAAAATGTATTTATAGTTGATCGATCAATCATCTAACTCCGCCAGTAGAACCTTAGGGGCTACTGCCGGTCCCAAGCCCGGATAAAGGAGGAGGGTTGGACATGGGGTTGGCGGCCCCATTCCGTTGAAATCTAACTTGCCAAAAAAACGCTAACCAGAAAAAATAATTCAAACCATTTTAACTCTGCCCTGGGAGTTGGAAGAAGAATTATGACGTCTCGTGATGAAAGCCGAGTCCCCTCGGAAGTCACGGGGCCGATGCCTCTTCTGACAACCAGAGCAACCATTTTTTTAGGTACATGGAACGTTCGTACATTGTGGGAGACTGGAAGACTATTTCAAGTTGCGGCAGAAATGAAAAGATACAACCTCGAGGTGCTCGGCATCAGTGAAACACATTGGACACAGGTAGGACAACTGAGACTTGCTTCAGGGGAACTGCTGTTATACTCTGGTCATGAAGAGGAAAACGCTTCACATACACAAGGAGTTGCACTGATGCTGTCCAAACATGCACAAAAGGCACTGATAGGATGGGAATCTCATGGGCCGAGGATCATTAAAGCATCCTTCAAAACAAAGAAACAGGACATTACAATGAACGTCATCCAATGTTATGCACCTACCAATGACTACAATGACGACGTTAAAGATCAATTCTACGAAAGGCTGCAGTCAATCGTCGATAAATGTTCACCAAAGGATTTGACGATTCTTATGGGAGACCTGAATGCCAAGGTTGGAATGGACAACACTGGATATGAAGACATCATGGGACGACATGGACTGGGAGAAAGAAACGAAAACGGTGAGAGATTTGCAAACCTATGTGCCTTCAACAAACTGGTCATCGGTGGCACAATATTCCCGCACAAACGCATTCACAAAGCCACATGGATTTCACCGGATCACACTACTCAAAACCAAATTGACCATATCTGTATCAACAAAAAGTTCAGAAGGACCATGGAGGATGTGAGAACCAAGAGAGGAGCTGATATAGCTTCAGATCACCACTTGCTGATCGCCAAAATGAGATTGAAGCTAAAGAAGCACTGGACAACGGGGCAGACAACATCACAGAAGTTTAATACGGCCTTTCTTCGGGATACCGTAAAACTCAACGAATTCAAGATAGCCCTCACCAATAGGTTCCAGGCCTTTCAGGATCTACTCAATGGAGAGGAAGCAACATTGGAGAACAGTTGGAAAGGGATTAAGGAGGCAATCACTTCAACATGTCACGAAGTTCTGGGTCACAAGAAGCACCATCACAAGGAATGGATCTCTGTTGGTACTCTTGAAAAAATTCAAGAAAGGAGGAACAAGAAGGCAGCAGTGAATGTCAGCCGAACAAGAGCAGAGAAAGTTAAGGCGCAAGCCGAGTATACAGAAGCAAACAGGGAAGTGAAGAAAAGCATCAGAGCTGACAAACGAAAATATGTGGAAGATCTAGCAATGAAGGCGGAAAAGGCTGCAAGAGAAGGAAACTTGAGACAGTTGTACGAAACAACAAAGAAGCTCGCCGGGAACTATCGTAAACCAGAACGACCAGTGAAAAGCAAGGAAGGGAAAATAATCAGCAACACTGACGAACAGCGAAATAGGTGGGTGCAGCACTTTAAGGAACTATTGAATCGACCAGCTCCACTGAACCCACCCAACATCGAAGCAGCATCCACGGATCTCCCAATTAATATTGGCGCACCCACGATTGAGGAGATCAGTATAGCCATCAGACAAATCAAGAGCGGCAAAACAGCAGGACCAGACAACATTCCAGCAGAGGCAATGAAAGCAGATGTGGAAGCAACTGCGAAAATATTTCACATTCTCTTCAAGAAGATTTGGGATGAGGAACAAGTACCATCAGATTGGAAAGAAGGATACCTGATCAAAATACCAAAGAAAGGCGATCTCAGCAAGTGTGAAAACTACAGAGGCATCACTCTTCTTTCAATACCAGGCAAAGTCTTCAACAGAGTATTGTTAAACAGAATGAAGGACTTCGTAGACGCCCAACTTCGAGATCAACAGGCCGGATTTCGGAAGGATCGATCGTGTACTGACCAAATTGCTACATTACGGATCATTGTGGAACAATCAATTGAATGGAACTCACCACTCTACATCAACTTCATCGACTACGAGAAAGCATTCGATAGCGTGGATAGGAAAACACTGTGGAGGCTTCTTCGACACTACGGTGTGCCTGAGAAAATAGTCAACATCATACAGAATTCTTATGATGGATTCAACTGCAAAATCGTACACGGAGGTCAGCTGACAGACTCTTTTGAGGTGAAGACCGGTGTCAGGCAAGGTTGCTTACTCTCACCCTTTCTCTTTCTCCTGGTCATCGACTGGAATTTGAAGACGTCAACATCTGGAGGGAAGCACGGTATCAACTGGACAGTTAGGACGCAGCTGGACGATCTGGACTACGCAGATGACCCGCCTCTTCTATCGCACACGCAACAACAAATGCAAGAGAAGACGACCAGTGTAGCAGCAGCCTCTAAAGCAGTAGGTCTCAACATACATAAAGGAAAAAGCAAAATTCTCCGATGCAACACAACATGCACCAACCGAATCACTCTTGATGGAGATACGTTGGAGGACGTTAACACCTTCACATATCTTGGCAGCATCATCGACGAGAAAGGTGGATCGGACGCAGATGTGAGGGCGCGGATTGGCAAAGCAAGGGCTGCATTTCTACAGTTGAAAAATATCTGGAACTCCAAACAACTTTCAAACAAAACCAAAATCAGGATCTTCAATACAAATGTGAGGACAGTTCTACTGTATGGAGCGGAAACATGGAGAACTACCAAAGCCATCATCCAGAAGATACAAGTGTTTATTAACAGTTGTCTACGCAAAATACTTCGTATTCGTTGGCCAGACACCATCAGCAACAATCTACTGTGGGAGAGAACAAGTCAGATTCCAATGGAGGAGGAAATCAGGAAGAAGCGGTGGAAATGGTTAGGACATACACTACGAAAAGCACCCAACTGCGTCACTAGACAAGCCCTCACATGGAACCCTCAAGGCAAAAGGAAAAGAGGAAGGCCAAGGAACACACTACGCCGAGAAATAGAGAAAGATATGAGAGGAATGAACAAACATTGGACAGAACTGGAGAGGGAAGCCCAGGACAGAGTTGGTTGGAGGAAACTGATGGGCGGCCTATGCTCCATTGGGGGTAACAGGCGAAAGTAAGTAAGTAAGATCAATCATCTCCTTCTTAGTGCACATTATATTGAATCACCCAGGTTAGTAACCACATTGCAACTTCACCAATAGGATCCAATCAACCTTGAATAGTAAATATTTAATTTTTATCCTAATGCTTAAATTATGTGACCCTAACATCATAAAGTTAAATCTGCTTTGTGATTGGTTGAATCAGATCCTTATTACTGATTAGCTTAAGTTTATAAATCAATAATCACATTGTTTAAACATTATACATATAAACTCTTGATTTAACTTGTCAACAATTCTCAATCTTACTTCATTCGGTTCCCAGTGCCAAATATCAAATGTTGGTTTTTTCAAAAAATCAATAGTTGATTGTGTCAATGTATACTGGACAAAGAAAAATCGATAAGTGTGAATAACAAGCTGAACATGATGTTATATCTCAATAAAAAACATTTTAGTAATAATCATAATAATCATAGTTTGAAATCATCAATCAATCATTGTTAGAACACCATTAGAAACCTGAAATCACCGGATGGCCGTTTCGTCCTGGGATGGGACTCATCAGTGGTAGTGTGCATCCACGACTCATGCACCTCGCAAAATCCGAACCCGGGACCCTCGGTATTGTGCGCGAGAACGCCTAACCATCGGACCACTGGGTCGGCGCCCAACGGTGTTTATGTCTAACTCTGATTGATCTACGGATTTCGCGCAACCTCGCCCATTTGTGTTTGGTAGTTACTGCCAACACCCGACAGAGTTGAACTCCCTCGGTCAAATTCTGCGAGGTGCAGGAGTCGTGGATGCGCACAACTGATGAGTCCCATACCAGGACGAAACGGCCGTTCAGTGCTTCCAGGTTTCTAATGGTGGCCTAACAATAATTGATTGATGATTTCGCATGTGTAAAAACACAAATCTCCAAAAACTCTGCCCGAAAATAATACTAGTGGTACGATTTACTGACTTAAGCTTGTTACCTCGAATGGGGCATAATCCACCGATCAGCCATCTACAACCTACACTGTCCTGAGAGTGGTACTACTACTAGTAGTATTAAAGACATTATTAGTGAAATGTGTTAGAAACGAAAGTACTTTCCATTGGAGAGCCCTCAGAATATTACTAGTCTCCCGTCTGATCTTGACGTCATTGCTCATTATTACACCTAGGATGAAATCAAACTGATCTTTGTAAAATTTCCTATCTGAATATCTAGTCAGTATTTCTAGTGATGCTCATCGTTTTATATGCTTGAAACTATTACGAGTTCATCTTAGTCGATAAATGAGAACAAGATAATGAACCATTAACCCGATAGGCTACTCTGATCCGTTGCCTCAAATTAACTGACGGGAAAGTCTTGATATAGCATAGAAAGTGTATTCTACAAAACACCCAGCCAGTACACAATGAATTCAAGCACACGAATCAAATTTATTTCTACATCATAGAAACGTCCCTGGGAGAGTCACAAAAATAGCACACTAAAATAACACATCAACCAATCACAGCCAAGGATTTTCCTGGCGAGAAATATGATCTCAAGGTCAACTGATCAGCCAATGAATCAAATCCTAAATGAAGACCTTTATCAAGTGAGTTCTCTGGGATCAACACATCACAAACAATTTTACGATTAAAATGATTAAAACTAACCTTTTCGAAAATGGGTAAATTATTCAATTCTAAAATTTTCACACCATCATTACTTAAGCGTATATTGCCCAGATATGTACTACGTTCTGAACTGAATAGGGTGGTTTTTGAATATTTCCCAAGAAAAAAACAAATAGTACTTGGGTAAATTTATGAGTAGTAATTAAAAATAAATCAATAATCGTTGAAATAATCAATCTGTCATTGTTAAATCATTATTAGAAACCTGGGAGCCGTTTCGTCTTGGTATAGGACTCGTCAGTAGTGTATATCCACGATCCTCGCGCGTGAGAATCGAACTCGAGACGTTCGGTCTCGCCTAACCTGTCAGCTAAGGAACTGGCAATCTATGGTGTTGATATCTAACTTCAGTGAATCAGCGGTATTGTGCAATGTCAACTATTGTCTACAGTCAACAGGGTTGAACTCCGTCGGTCATGGTTTCTCACTAGAATTCTGAGAATTTCTTCACAAAGCTAGTCACTCGTAAATAATGGTCGGTTCATTATTTCAATCAAACTTAGCAGTCTCCATAACGCACATAATGAAAATGATCAATTATTGTGTTATGTTAAGATTGAAAAATCAAATCTGATGTATTGATTACATTTTGTAATGTTCTGTTGGGAGGTATCCATCGGGAAACATGTGGATATCATGGATGTTTATATAACCCTAACTCAGGAGTTTGTAAGTTTTTAAATAATTATACACTGTCATATTCATAATGGCTTTAAACGATTCGCCACAAACCCTGCTAACTATCTTTGGCATTCACCAAAACATAGTAAAATATATTTTTCAAAATTCCAAGAAAGAATAATGGGGAGCAGTTTGTGAAAACTTTGTCTGTGTTTCTTGTTGTTAAGGAATCCTGAGTTTGAGTCAGTTGATAAGCTTATTTTAATACAATCGGGGACTAGTTGTTACTTAAGATGAGTAGATGTGTATTGTTGTCTCTAAGCGTGATGACTGACTTTTGAAGTTTTTGCCTGAAGTATATTCGATGACGACAGTGTTCATAAAGTGAGTGAAAGCATCATAATTAAATAAACACCTCCAATAAACTTTTTAATTTATCTTTCTGAGCAGAGAGTATTAAATAACTGTTTTGTTCGAGTGTGGCAGTCTTCGTCAGTCAATGTGTAAGCATGATATAGTTGTAGTGTTTCATTCTCTGAGATGGATAGTTTGGTTAAGGAGCTTTCATTGTTCTTCTGAACAACATCATCAGCACAAAATTAAGATAGAAGCGAAGTATTCGAATTTCTCCACGTATAACTTGTAGCTTGTTCTGTTGACCTCGAATTTGATTGGTTGTTATTGACATTAAACCTGTCGTTGTCTGCACCTTCATTTTGATTGTATGCTCCTTTGATCTGTTTCTTGATCCTGTTTGTCTATGATTTTTCTGATTGGTTGATACGTTGGGTCCATATCGATGTGTTGGTTGATTGCTGAATGATCTGCGAGTCAAACTTCTAAAAATTTTTTAAGGTTCTTTGTACTCCCAGTAATTCAAAATCGTTTCAATTGAATATATATCCATAGTTGCCGTATGTATTGATATACTCTGCGTGAAATCCGAATTCTTCACTTCAGTTCTACCTGAAGTTTGTGCTACTGATGATGTTGTTGTTCAGAAGAAAACCAAAACATCTTCAGCTCACAGAACGCGAAGCTCCATTACAATCATCCATCTGACCAACAAATTTTCTCCACCATCTCGACATTATTTAATATCTGAACTCATTGGCTAACTGGATCATACAATGTTGTTTGAAGAGAACTGTACTCGGGTTTCAAGTTTCAGCGTGAACATCAACTCTAATACAGGACAAGTAAATCCAGTTAAAAACAAGTCTACACTATGACCAAAACAAACATGATGTATTCATCTGTTACATGATCAATGTTTGTTTATCGAACTTTCGAGTGATCGTGAACAACAGAAATCCAAATTTTATCTTTTGGCTTTTATTTTACTATGTTGGTAGATTATTTTCTTTCAAGTAAAGTCAGTCAGTCAGTTGCAACGTAGAACTTCGTACGTATGTACATAAGTTCATGTTGCCATACCACATTAGCACACAGAGATGCAAATGTCAAATCAAATCCCATAGTGATAAAGATAGTAGAGGTATTAATGGTAATGAAGAAGACTAGGGTTTGAATATATTATTCAAGAAGTATTAATTCAGTGAGATAAGGTTAGAAAGACAAAGGTAGAGGTGCTGACGAATCCAGAAGATTATGATTTGAGAGAACACAACGAATGGATGCACTTGCACCATTGCAAATGATTTTGAGTCATGTCGTTCAAGGTCTCTAACCATTGGTGACTATCGTCTCACAGACCCCAACTAGGTAGTCTACATCTACCAACATGACTCATTCCACTAGTCAGTGACTTCATGGATTTCTGACATGTTTTGGTCTTGCTGCCCCTAACTTTCTTCCAACCTACTTCTACACCACAAAACATTACTCGTCGAGGCAGTCGGTGGTTAGGCATTCGAAACACATGTCCCAACCACCTCAACTGATGAAGTTTGATTACTTCATCTATTGATGTGTCATCCTTACCTGGCACCCGTTTCCTAACGACAGCATTGCTTACTCAGTTGTCCCACGGTATATGAGCAATGGTTCTTAAACATCTATGATCGAATACTAGTAACCTACGAACATCTTCTATTCTTACCGGTCATGTTTCGCATCCATATAGGAGAACGGAGCGAACTACTGCGCAGTACACTCGTCCTTTAGTCAGCGAACGGATATCACGCCCACGCCATAAGTGACGCAGGTTCGCAAAAGCCAATCGAGGCTTCTGTATCCGTGCTGAGATTTCGTCATTCACCAGGCTATCAGAGCTGACAAGACTCCCCAGATAAGTGAAGTGATCAACACGCTCGACTACTTCACTCCCTATCACTAGTTCAGGTGCTGATGCAACCCAATCTCTGCATTTTGTCAGCGTCTTCATCGAATAGAACTATGTCATCGGCATATTCTAGATCAGTAAGCGATTTTCCTGGTAGAAGGTCAACCCTTGAAAAATCTGACGAGCTTAATGTTAACTCTAAGAGGGTGTCTATGACAAAGTTAAACAAGAATGGAGAGAGTGCACAGCCTTGACGGACACCACTTGAAGTAAAGAATTCCGATGACAGTTCGCCATAAGCTCTCACTCGACTAGTAGTGTTCGAGTAGAGTGCTTGTATAAGGTTTATGTACTTCTTTGGTACACCTTTCAATGACATATTGGCTAGGTGGATCATACAATGAATGATGTTCAGAGTGACCATCAACTCTAAAATACGGCAAATGTAGCCAGTTCAAGACAGTTCTTCAATTAAACGAAACACACATGATGTATTCCTCTGTTAGCCACATTCTATAACAAATTGTATTACGTTGATTAATGTTTGTTCTTGAATCTCTGAATAATCATGAACAATAGGAATCCAAACTTTATCTTCTGAATATTATTTTACTATGTCAGCAGATCGTTTTCTTTTCAATAAAACCAATCAATTGATCATTGAACAGTTGAATAAATTTATTGAATATTGAAAGGAAAAAAATGTGTAAATAAATTATTCATTCTATTTACCTGTTGGTTGTTGAAGTGGTTTTTCGCTCATGAATTTGAATTTTCAATTCATTCAATTCTTTTTTAATTCTATCAATATCATTGTAACGATCTGTTTCAACTAGAATGAAATCAATAAATAGATAATTGATAGTATTATGGTGTGTGCTACTTATACGAACGATATAAGTAGTATAAGACAGGACGTGAAAGAAGAAGTCTCACGGTCAGAAGAGGAAAACGAAAAGCAAATGAAGCAAAAGCAAGAAATGAATGGAATACCAACAGGAAGGAAAGGAAGCAACAAGAGGAATGGAAGAAGGATGGTGCGTTGGAAGTCATGACTCAAAGATGGTGTGCAAATAGAGTGTTCAATGTAATGTTTTCGTTTTTAACTGACTCAGAGTGTAAATTTGCATAATACAATCTTCTAACCATAAAATTGACATTATTTAAACAATTATAGTGAAAATTAGATAGCATTGAACGATTGTATCATTTGATTTTTTGGGATTTCTTTGTTAGTGAAGTGAGTATTGACGACCTTGATGCGGGGGAATGAATCATGCTGATGAATGCAAGACTAGGTCGAAACAATTGTTTGTCTCGACTTTCAACAGTTATCTGAATTAGGTGAGTTTGAGATCTTGATGACATTCAACAATCTTTACAACCGTTTTGGCATGATTTTATCATATTTTATTTCAGTTAAACCACCATTAGAAATTTCGAATGCACTGAACGATCGTTTCGTCCGAGTGTGTGCACATAACAATCAGGAATAGAATTTACGGCTTTTGGAATAACTTGCGAACGCTTAAACTCTACACTTTCGAGCCAGCAGAGATCTGTGGAAATGTTTGACTTCATTCAATCCACAATATTGTGAGATCTGATCGATTGTCTTCTGTGGGTAACTGTCCAAAACTTGACGCCGCTAATACTACATGTATGCGCATCGGGGACTGATTGAAGTTAGACCTTAGCATCATAGGATACCGACCTACATATACAAACTTAGGATTTGTGCATTGAAATACGCGATTCATTGGTATAGAGGTTACGAATTATGCATCCTAGAAAACGTTGTAACTTTGAGGTCTATTCTGATGCCTGTTTTGAGTAGGAGTGTTTGAGTCTGCCACCTGGATTCCTTCTAGAGCTACTCCCGGTCACTAGTCATGATAATGGACGAGGATCAGGTAAGGGGGTTACCGGCCATATCCTTTATAAAATCATATAATCACACAAACTCGTACACGAAGGTGAATGGGTTTCACCGTATCACACTACATAGAACCGAATCGACTATATCTGCATCAGTAAAATGTTCAGAAGACCCACGGGGAAGGTGAAAAACAACAGTGGAGCTGGCATAACTTCAAATCAACTATTGGTCGCCAAGATGAGAATGAAACTAAAGAAGCACTGGACAGTTGGTCGAACAGCATCAAAAAAGTTTAATTCTACGTTTTTTCGGAGTACTGACGAACCTAGTGAAGTCAGGATATCTCTGAGCAATAAGTCTCAAGCATTTTACGATCGACTCAATGAAATGGAATCTACCGTGGAGAACAACTGAAAACGTATCAAGGAAGCATTAGTTTCAACATGTCATGGGGTTCTGGGCCACAATGACTACCATCACAATGAATGGATCTCTAGTTATACTCTGGATATTATACAGGAAGAGCAGTACAGAAAGACAGCAGTCAAATGCAGTCAATCAAGAGCCTTTCTCTTCCTCCTGGTGATCGACTGGATTATGAAGACCCCTACATGTGAGGGGAGTCACGGAATACAGCGGACAGATCAGATGCATCTAAGCTCAAAACAACTGCCTGTCAACCAACCTCCAAGTCATAATTTTCAATCCAAATGTTCAAGACATTTCTATTGTATGAAGCGGAAAGTTAGAGAACTACAAAAGCCATCATCCACAAGATACAGGTGTTTTTATAAACAGTTGTTAACGCAAGATACTCCAAATCCGTTAGCCAGAAGCTATCAGCAATAACCTACTTTGTGAAAGAGCAAACCAGATTCCAATGGAAGAGGAAATTAGGAAGGGAGGCTGAAAGTGGATAGGAAACACATTGCGGAAAGCAAGCCACTGCCTCACAAGGCAAGCCCTTACTTGGAACCCTCAAGGACAAAGGAAAACTAGAAAATCGGAAAACCCGTTTAGCCAAGAAATGGAGACAGACCTCAGAAAAATGGACAACAATTGGGCAGAACTAGGAAAAAAGGCTGAGGACAGAGTAGGTTGGAAATTTGTGGTGGTGTTTCGTTCTCTAAGCTGAAATTTTTAGTTGTGGAGCTTTCATTGTTCTTCTACTGAACAACATCATCATCAGCACAAACTTCAGATAGAAGTGAAACATTCGAATTTCTTCACGTTTGACCCGTAGCTCGGTTCTATTAACCTCGATCTTAATTGGTTGCTGTCTGTCGTTGTTTACACCTTTTTTTGATTGTATCCCCCCTTTTGATCTGTTTCTTGATCCTATGTCACCTATGATTTTCCTGATGTGTGTGTTGATTGCTGATTAACCTGAGTGCCAAGCTTCTAAAAATTCCCAAGTGTTCCTTGTCCTCCCCCTATCCAGTGTTTCCACACTATTCTAATCGAACGTATGTCCATAATTGTTGGTATGTATTAATATAAGCGAAGAAATGTCATGGGGTTTCGCTGCTAATTAGTGTTCACGTAAACAAAGCTGAAGAGGTCGTCCACTTTGTCATATGTAGTGTTTTTCACAGTCTGAGCAGTTGTTTATTTTGTAAATGATTTTTGGTTTTACTTCCTATAGGTTGGAGAATGCTGGTCAGAGGTGTATGCTCCATGGAGAGTAACAGGCGGAAGTGAGTAAGTAAGTAAGTAAGTAGGTAAGTAAGTAAGTAAGTAAGTAAGTGGCGAAGTAAGTAAGTAAGTAAGTAAGTAAGTAAGTAAGTAAGTAAGTAAGTAAGTAAGTAAGTAAGTAAGTAAGTAAGTAAGTAAGTAAGTAAGTAAGTAAGTAAGTAAGTAAGTAAGTAAGTGCATAAGTAAGTAAGTAAGTAAGTAAGTAAGTAAGTAAGTAAGTAAGTAAGTAAGTAAGTAAGTAAGTAAGTAAGTAAGTAAGTGCATAAGTAAGTAATTGAGTAAGTAAGTAAGTAAGTAAGTAAGTAAGTAAGTGCATAAGTAAGTAAGTAAGTAAGTAAGTAAGTAAGTAAGTAAGTGAGTAACTGATGAAAAAGGCTTGATTTATTTGCCGAAATTTGCGCGCATCTTCCTCTTTTTTTCGTACCAAAACTATTTGAAAATTCCGATGAATTCTACTAAACGGTTAGTTGGGTGGTTGGTTGTTAGATTAAATTTCTAACAAATTGAAAAATTTATCCCTCTCTCTATTTAAACATACCCTATATACATATGTAATAGATAGAATTCTCTGATTATCAATCATAACTACTATCCTCTTAGTTTGCCTTCAAAAATGTCATATACATATAAACACACTTTATTTCATTCAAGATAATGAGCGAAGTGTTTTTTTAGAAAAGTTTATTTACATGTGTACAGTTGTCGTCTTTAATGATTATAATTTGGCCTACATTTTTCTTCAAATGTACATGCATGAGTTTTTTTTATCTTTGTAAAAAAAATTTATTTGGGTGGAACTTTGATGATTATCTGAGTTGGTTTTTTAATTTAATTTCAATATCCCTTATCTAACGATTACTACTACTACTACTACTACTAACTACTGCTACAACTATTCGACAGCATTGTATCAATAGGTAAGATAAGTAACCAATCAAAAAGTACGAGTTTCAAGGTTAAATGTAGTAGTATTTTGGTTTTCTTGATTACTTTAGTTATTAATACGTATAATTTGTTTGAATTTTCGTTGTTGTTGTTGTGACACAGGGAATAATGATTCGGTTGTCAATGGTAACCAAATCGTTACTCTGATTGATATTCGTTTATATCATAACGATAATAATAATGGTAATAATAATAATAATAATAAATGTTATTTTCCCCTTTTTCAAACATTTTTAATGAGAAATGTGAAGTTTGAAAAAAAAGTGATATAAATAAATGATGTCTAGCAGTAGAAGAATGTAGGATGTACATTTTGTAGTATTTTGAAAAGACTTGCTCTGTGTAGGTTGATAAATTGTATATTACTTACTTACTTACTTACGCCTGTTACACCCAATCGAGCATAGGCCGCCCACCAGTTTTCTCCAACCAACTCTGTCCTGGGCTTCCCTCTCCAGTTCCGTCCAATGTTTGTTCATTCTTCTCATATCTTTCTCTATTTCTCGACGTAATGTGTTCCTTGGCCTTCCTCTTTTCCTTTTGCCTTCAGGGTTCCAAGTGAGGGCTTGTCTCGTGACGCAGTTAGGTGCTTTCCACAATGCGTGTCCTATCCACTTCCACCGCTTCTTCCTCATTTCCTCCTCCACTGGAATCTGGTTTGTTTTCTCCCACAGTTCGTTGTTGGTGATGGTGTCCGGCCAACGAATACGAAGTATTTTGCGTAGACAACTGTTAATAAACACTTGTATCTTCTGGATGATGGCTTTGGTAGTTCTCCAAGTTTCCGTTCCATACAGTAGAACTGTCTTGACATTTGTATTGAAAATCCTGATTTTGATTTTGGTTGAAAGTTGTTTGGAGTTGCAGATATTTTTCAACTGTAGAAATGCAGCCCTCGCTTTGCCAATCCGCAAAATCACATCTGCATCGGATCCACCTTTCTCGTCGATGATGCTGCCGAGATATGTAAAGGTGTTAACGTCCTCCAAGGTATCTCTATCAAGCGTGATTCGGTTGGTGCATGTTGTGTTGCATCGGAGAATTTTGCTTTTTCCTTTATGTTTGTTGAGACCTACTGCTGCAGAGGCTGCTGCTACACTGGTCGTCTTCTCTTGCATTTGTTGTTGAGTGTGCGATAGAAGAGGCGGGTCATCTGCGAAGTCCAGATCGTCTAGCTGCGTCCTAACTGTCCAGTTGATACCGTGCTTCCCTCCAGATGTTGGCGTTTTCATTATCCAGTCGATGACCAGGAGAAAGAGAAAGGGTGATAGTAAGCAACCTTGCTTGACACCGGTCTTCACCTCAAAAGAGTCTGTTAGCTGTCCTTCGTGTACGATTTTGCAGTTGAATCCATCATAAGAATTCCGTATGATGTTAACTATTTTCTCAGACACCCCGTAGTGTCGAAGAAGCCTCCACAGTGCTTTCCTGTCCACGCTATCTTATGCTTTCTCGTAGTCGATGAAGTTGATGTAGAGTGGTGAGTTCCATTCAATTGATTGTTCGATAAATTGTAGATAGGATGAAATGTTCGTTTTGTATTCGACGGCTGATGATAGAGTTTACAGGAGGTATATATGATGAATATATGTTACTTATGTACTTACTTAGTTACTTGCGCCTATTACTTCTGGTGGAGTATAGGCTAACTACTAGCATCCTCTAACCTACTCTATCCAAGGCCATCCTTTCCAGTTCTATACGATCGCTGTTCGTTTTTCTCACGTGTGTCTTCATTGCTGGTGTTCCTCTTTTCTTTTGACCTTGAGGGGTTCCAAGTGAGGACTTGTCTCGTGATGCCGTTGGGTTCTTTCTTCAATGTGCGTCCTATCTATTAACAGCACTTCTTCCTAATTTCTTCCTCCATTGGAATCTGGTTTGTACTCTCCTATAGTAGGTTGTTGCTGATAATTTCTGTTAAATCGATCCAAAGTATTTTATGTTGGCCAGACGCTATCAGCATGCATATATACCGAATGAGACTGATCAGTTACAGTCCCTAAGAGTCAATAGGGAAGATTTAAATAATGTGTATACGAATATATCGAACCCGCATACTTTGTCCAAACCTTTGGACATCATTATTTACACTTGTTTTTATCTTGTCAATTATTCAGTTAAAATCTTGCTTGTTTTTACTTCAGTACCTTGATGTGCATTACTTGTTTCGCCTACCACATGTCTTTGGTTTATTTTCATCTGGCCATAAATACTTAGTCATGTCTCATGGCATTGAGTTGGTTCACTAGCCCTCTTCAGTCCACTTCGATTCGCTTTGCTTCCATGCTTTGTATTCTCATGTCTGTCTGCATGAACGATCACATCAAATAAATTCATCCGAATGAATTCGGATTCAGCTTCTTGTTACCACTATCGAACAACACGGGGTCCGCCTAATTACAATAAGCAGAAACTGAAGGGAAACTTTATTTCATCGCTTACTCGAACTTTGTGCTGATGATGTTGTTCAGTAGAAGAACAACAATGAAAGCTCCGCAAGCAAAACTCATCCAGCTCAGAGAACCAAACACCACCAACACCACAATCATTTACCTGAGCGCTAAAAATCTTCTCCACCATCTCACACTCGAACATTTGTACAAATTGGAGTCCGATACCGAGCCACTAAAGTGGTGAGCCCTACTAAAAAATTTAACGTAGCCACCAAAAAAAACCAATGCATGAACTCTGAAAAAAAAACGCTGGAGGTGAGTTGAACATACATTGAGCAAATCATTCAACTGCATCACAAGGCAAACCCTCACTAGGAACCTTCAGGGCGAAGGAGAAAATAGTTGATCGAACAACCAGTTACATCAAGAATCAAAAACAGATGTTAGAAGAATGAACATTACTGGAAAGGAAAGTTAGAGAATGCTGGTTGGCAGCCTACGCTCCATTAGTAGCAACTGACGTCAGTAAGTATTAGTAAGACGTAGTCAATATTAGAGCAAAGTTTATTTCTCGGCTGACACAGTATCATCATCATCATCATCATTACGGAGTCTATTCACAGATGACAATATCTCACTACTTTGTTTACACTGAAATCAAATGGTTACCGTTAATTTCAAATATTTTATAAATTTCTGTGTAAACATACCAACAATTCGTTGTTCTAATAATTGCATTCGATCTGTGAATTCATTCTTCAAATCAGATATTTTCATTGCACTAAAAAAGGTATAAACATTTTGATCAATCAAAAAGGAGAGACAACTATCAAGTTTTTACACATCAAAATCACCAACCAATCATTGTTAGATCACCATTTGAAACCTGAAGGCATTGGGTGGTCGTTCCGTCCAGGTTTAGAGTTCATCAACGGTGTGCACCTCTCAGGAGTCAGTTCGAACCCAGGGTTCTCTGTTGCGCGCGAACGCTCAACCTCTGAACCACTTGGTCGGCGTCTGAAGGTGTTAATGTCTAACTCTGATCAATCTATGGATTTTACCTGACCTCACCTGTTTGTCTTTGGTAGTTACTGTCAGCACCTGACAGGGTTGAATTCCAGTGGTAAAGTTATTATATTATTCATCAATAAACCAACTGAAATTATTCAAACAGAACTACTCCTTCTAAATAGAGATGGCTAGCTGCTCGAAAGGGAATTTAGGATGAGTGTTTCATCTTATTCGAGACTGGTGTTTGGCCAGATGCGTATCTGTCACATCTCAGAGTTGATTTCCTGTTTTATCTCTAATTGTTCAATCAACATCACGTGAGGTTTGAGCACCAGAAACCATGAGCCTGCTCTAAATTCTAATTGGTCTACTACAAAATGGATAGCATGTTCCTATCTACCCCTGCCTCTTAGTTGAGAACTCCATAGTTAGCTACCGGAGAATTTTCATTATATTCCAAACAGACATAGTTTAGATAACAAATAGGCCACATTACATTATGCCATAATATTATTCAGTTGTAGTGGTTACTTTGAATCGTGTAAAGCGATAGCTCGTAAACTTTTTATATACGCACTTGAATTACAAGATACAATTGATCTGAGCAGCCTTATTGATGAACAAGGCGGATTTGACTGATGCAGACGTGAAGGCGTGTGTCAGCAAAGTAAGGACAGAATTTCTACAATTGCAAAACATCTGGAAATCAAAACAACTAACTGTCAAGCTACACCACTATCAATATTCTCAACACAATTGTCAAGACAGTCCTACTGTATGGGGCGGAAACTTGGCGAGCCGCAAAAGCCATCTTCCAGAGGGAACAAGTATTGATTATCAGTTGTCCGCGCAAAATACTACGGATTCGTTGGACAGACACCATCACCAAAAATCTACTGTAGGAGAAAACAAACCAGATTCCAGTGGAGGAAGAAATCAGGAAGAAGCGCTGGAGGCACCCAATAGCGTCACAAGACCAGCTCTCACTTAAAATCCACTTAAAAGCCAAAGAACACAGTATACGGACAAAATCGAGACAAACATAAACAGCAATTGGACAGAACTAGAAAGGAAGGTCGATGACAAAACAGGCAAGATAGCACTGGTCGGCGACCTACGCTCCTTTGGGGATAACAGGCGTAAGCAAGTAAGTAAGGCGTAGTTGACATGTTGAAACAAACAAACAACCATGTAAAAATAGGTAACTTATTGAAATGTATATTGATGTTTGGAAGAAACAGAAAGGCCAAAATATTCAAACAAGCTACCTATTTGAAGACAAAATGATCGTGAAATATCTGTTAATATGTACTTGTTATTTCTCTGTTGTTAATACAAACATTCACAGAATGATGAAGAATCTTTGACAGTTGATAGTTTTTACATTTGTACTGTTGATTTTCTGTAGAAAGATAGTTGAAACTTGATGATTAAACCATCTAATTTGGAGAATATAATATTGACAAAAGTGTCTACTTGAGCTACAGCATTCAACCATCAGAAAAATCAATAAATATGCTTTGAGACTAGAAGGGAATGATTCCACTTGGAACGCTTCTACGATTTACTGGCGGTTCCAATCGTGGATAAAGAAGGAGGCTTAGGTATAGGGTTGACAACTCTATCCTGTACAAAACAAATTTGCTAACCAGAAGAGATTCAGTCTATAAAATAATCAATACAGAATCATGTATAGGAAAATTTACTCCAATGTACAAAATCACATTGATTTAACAATTCGAAAACTTATAACCGGTTGATAATCATGTAAACATGATCGAATCAACCTAGATTGATCTGAGTTAGGCATTAATACTGTTGAACGCCAGCCCAGTGTCCAGAGATTAGGCGTTAACGGGTTCGAGTCCTCTAAGTAGAAGGATTCGTGAATGCGCACTGCTGATGAGTCCCGTACTAGGACGAAACTCCCATCTTTCAGTGCTTCCAGGTTTTTGCTAGTGGTCTAACAATGATTGATTCATGATCTTCATAACTCTAATTGAAAAACTCAATACAAAATCATGTCTATAAACATTTACTCAAATTTTTCAAATGACATTACTTTAAGAATTCATCAACTTAGAAAAGGTTAATTATCATGTAAAAAACAGTCAAATCAATAGTTACATTACTCGTTTATTTGTGTTGTAATTGATTCAAACATTCGAACAATGAGATTGATTTCATTTGGTTCGGAATTCTGTGTAATTGTCACAGTATATGGTGTACTAAAAAAAAGCAAAGTTGACATGATGCGATAGGCAGTCAGTATAAATATGAAATTTTTAAAAACGAATCGATGTAAATTTAACAAAAAACTAATATTTGTAGCTACGTTTATTGTTGAAGAATAATTCATATAGATGGCTTAGAGAAAAGCTGTTAACAATGATTGTTATGTTAGGAACTATTACGAGTTCACCTAAGTCGGTAAACGAGAGCGAAGACCAATGATCCAGTGACACGATAGACTACTGTTATTCGGGCGTCACACTAAGTAGAGGAAGAAGTCTTGACAAGACGTAGAAAGTGTATTCTACAAGCAACCAGAAAATGTGAGGTCCACAGGCACACAAATCGAGTTTATTTATACATGATAGAAACGTCCTTGAGAGGTCCACAAAAATAGCGTACTAAAATAACACATCAACCAATGACAGTCAAGGATTCCTCGGTGTGGGAAATGTGATCTCAAGGTCAACTGATCAGTCCATGCGCTAAAACATAGAATCCAAAATTAGGATCTTTATCAAGTGAGTTCTGGGGATCTAACGCCCCCAACAGTGATGAATTTCAGTTTTATCGTTATAGCGTTGTGAAGATTGTTGAGAATTTTTATTAACATCGTGAATCTGATCAGTGTTAGACCATCATTAGAAACTTGGTGGCAATGGACGGCCGTTTCGTCCTGGTATGGGACTGATCAATGACAGTGTGCACCCACGACTCCAGAACACGGGAATCTCCATAGCCCTAGGGTGAAAATTATCATGTGTCCACTAATGACTGATTGAAGTTAGACGTTAACACTGTTGTGTGCTTACTCATTGGTCAAGAGGTTGGATGTTATCCCGCGAGACCGAACGTCCTCGGTTCAATTCCCGCATGTTGAGTTGTGAATGCACATTGCCGATAAGTGCCATAAGCTTTATGTTAGTTGACACTCACCGGAAAGATACAAATGTATTCTTTAGGTAATTGATATTCAATTTCATTTTTACTCTATTTTTCTGTGTATAAAACCTTACATAAACAATGTGAGGTTAAAACTAAATGGAATCTCATTGACAATTGAACTGAAAAATATTTTGTTTTCAATGTAAGAATTTGAATTTAATCTAATTAATAAGTTGATTATCACTATTGAGTCATAACTGGAAAAAGATACGTCTACTATTTCACATAACTCATCATTTAAGTAAAGAGTAGTGAGAATTGACTAGGAGAAAACATTTGTCAGCGCCCACACAACGACATGATAGTGGTTCCTTCATCACTTATCTGTATCTGAGAAGACAGTCAACGTTATGTTAGATTAAACTGCAAAATTGTGCACGAGGGACAGCTCATAGACTCGTTCCGAATAAACACTAGTGTCAGACAAAGTTGCTTACTATTACCATTCCTCTCTCTTGTGGTGGTTCTATCTCTCATACAACGACGAGTGAAGATGCAGACTGACAGTATAGAAGCAGCCTGTGAATCAGTAGGTCGTAATATTCCACACAAGTAGGATCCTTAGACAGAAGACAACATACACTGACCATTGCGGGGTTGTTGTGAAGATTGTTAAGTTTTATTTGTAACCATGAATCGATCAATGTTAGACCACTGACCAAATTAAAATTGCTGAAAAAGCTTTGGAGGATGTGGAAACCTTATACATACCTTCTTCAGCATCATTGCTGAACAAGATTGATGTAAAAACATGGATTGGTAAGGCAAGGGCAGCATGTCTACAACTGAATAATATTTGCAACTCAAAACAACAGTTTTTAAACAAACACCAAATTCGGAATATTCAATACTAACATAAAAACCGTTCTTTTGTGTGTAGCGGAAAGTTGGAGATACAGGTATTTATAAACAGTTGTCTACTTAAGACACTAATGATCCATTGACCAGACATTGTCAGCAACAACTCCTTTGTGACAGAGAACAAACCAGATTTCAGCAGAGGTTGAAATTAATAAAATGCGCTGAAGATGAATAGGAAACATACACACACTGAAGAAAGCACACAACTGTGTCACAAGACAAGTCCTCACTTGGAATCCTCAAACACTCATATGCACACACACACACACTCGAATCATTTACTACTGTTATACTCATTGCAATTCTACTTGTTTACGAATTTCTTTTACATTGCGGGGTTGTGAAGATTGTTCAGTTACACATTTTTGAAACCATGAATCAATCAATGTTAGACCACCATTAGAAACCTGGAAGCACTGGACGGCCGTTTCGTCCTGGTATGGGACTCCTCAGCAGCGCGCATCCACGACTCCTGCACCCCGTAGGATTCGAACCCAGGAACAATGTGGAAATACTAGATATGGGGAGCAGAAAGGATACTAGAGAATATCTTGGAAGCTTGGCATTCAGGTTAATCAGCAATCAACAAACACATCGATATTGACCCAATTTATCAACCAATCAGAAAAATCATAGGTGACATAGGATCAAGAAACAGATCAAAAAGGGGATGCAATCAAAACAAAGGTGCAAAAAACGACAGACTTAAGGTCAACAGCAACTAATCA